CATTCCTGAAACAGAATAGAAACGCACCCCCCAACCTTAGTAGCACAGGTTTCATAAATCTTTGATTGGTAAAATGACTGTAACTTAGCCTGGTGGCTAGGACCACATGAGACTTTTAAGTGGAACCAATGACTGCACAGTGTTTATTTGGTACCAGTTCTATGCAGACTAGTGTACTGGTTTGTGTGCCTGGCAGGCAACCTGGCTGAATACCAGGAATGGGGGACCAGTGGGAGTCACAAAGCACAGCATTCTCCAACTGTGAAGCATGTTCTAATGAGGGCTCTAAACTGGATCCGAGTTACTACCGTCACTGCAGGCACTCACTGACTGATCAGGGTTCTACTATTTCCTTCTCTTTAAGTTTGGGCAGGATCCGATCTGTCACTTTGTGCCTTTGAGGCAAATTAAGACGAAGGTCCTCCAAGGGTTACAGACAATGAAAGTTCCAGGGGATGGCAGGTTTGGAGAAGGTTTGAAGTTCAAAGTAGGATCCGCTTAAGCATCATCCTTCTAACCAGTAAAGGCTGACCTGAACTGACAAAGAAATAACATTTCACGAGAGCTAAACATAATCAGACAAGTACGATTTATTTCCTAGGTCTGTGTCAAGACTTTATAGCCGCGGCTACATCGACTTCCTCCTCAGCTCGTAGGGCCAAAGGTGCTAAATGTGAAAAGAAATGCCAAGTGTAGATAACATTTGCAAACTGTGGCTTGTAGGCTACCTTTGTTGACCAAAAGCTGTCTGGCCGATAAGCTTTGTGATTTGCAAATATTATCTCTCCAACAAATACATCAGGGCCATGCTGCAAGGTGTGCGTGTGTGTGTGTGATACGTATTATTTGGGTTTTTATTAGCAATCTCTTACTACTGGGCCTTCTGGGGGAGTTGAGAGATGAAACATGCAAGGAAAGGGTGTCCATCACAGATGTTCTGGTGTTAGACTGAGCTTTGGAAACTTCCGTGGCAAATAAACAAAGAAGGGAAGTGGAACACAGGGCACTGAAGAGGCTGTGAGTCAGCTTTGGTCCTGAGTCCCCTGGGTTCACTGTATAATTGTCATTCTTCTATGTGTTTACAGAGTCCCAGTACAGATAGGAGGGCAGGCATTAGAGCAGAATCATGGGCTCTGCTGAAGAAGCTGGGCTTTTACTCTCTTAGGCTGTGGAAAAGGTCACTCCATTCAATTCTCTCGCCGCTTTGAAAGCACTGTGGTGCTACCTCAGTCCAGCCTGGGCCCTGTGGGGAATCCGGTTCTACACACTCCAAACCCTTGGCTGTCTTCTTTCTGGGGTGGTGGGTGTGGGAGCAGGGGGTATGCATCAACTACCAGAGTAAACACACCTGGTGATAAGCAAGAAAACGAAAATCCAGGTACAAGTGTTCCAGTGGCCAAATTCTCCACCCTAAAGTGATGTCACGACAACTGAAAATCAGGACCTCCGGTGGAAACTAAGGGTTTAATATCTAAGGCTCCCTGGCCCACCAGTGGGAAGCTGTCAGATTCAAGAAGGCTGCCCCCGTAACCCAGCTACAGGCACATTAGGACTTCTGATGACATCTGAGAGGATGGACCACATGCATTTTTACATTGCATCATTCCTCCGAGGACTGGGGGCTAATGCCGTACCTCAATACCTCCATTCATCTCACATGTCTAATGTATACAGAACTGGAGGTAAGGAGTGGTAGAAAAACCTATATAGATTATCATATGTTAAAGTCTCCTTCCAAGGGTAATTTAAAATGAAGCCCAAAGAAAAGGTTTATTTTCTAGCATTAGACATTGTTGGAAATATATAAATATACATATTTGGCTAAGTCTCTTTTACATCTATGACACAGATGAATAGGAAAAAAGCATTCTCTGAGAACTCTTCAGTATCAGAACAAAGAATTTAATCTATGGAAGTCAGCCACCCTTAGCTAATCTAGCAAAGCTGGCTATTAAAGTAATAAAATCCTATCAGTATATTCAAGCGAGTCTTATTGTAAAAAGCTTTGGGTGCTTATACCACACAAGTGGTAAGTTTATCTGAAAGCTATTCTGATCCCTTGATCCTGAATATATCAGAAAGGAATTTATATTTGAATCAAATTTTCAAACAAGCTCTCTTGCCTACTGCCAGAACTTGTGGCAAATATAGATAATTCTAGTAAAATAAACTGAAAAGATGGACTGGTTAAAAGTCAGTGGTCAGGGCTTCCCTGGTGGCGCAGTGGTTGGGAGTCCGCCTGCCGATGCAGGGGGTGCGGGTTCGTGCCCCGGTCTGGGAGGATCCCACGTGCCGTGGAGCGGCTGGGCCCGTGAGCCGTGGCCGTTGGGCCTGCTCGTCTGGAGCCTGTGCTCCGCGATGGGAGAGGCCACAGCAGTGAGAGGCCCACATACGGCAAAAAAAAAAAAAAAAA